AAATAAAATAAAATTTACTGAAAAAAATATTTATTAAAATATTTTCATCAAAAAAAAAAAAAGTATTTAGTTTCAGTGTTTCCTAAATGCTACAAAAGATATTTATTTACATTAAATGAATAACTATTCACTACCTAATTAAAATTTAATCACATTCTATTTTTAGTTAAAGTACTTTTTTGTGATAATTTTAAAAAGAAAATCATCCATTTTTTTAAAAAATTCTAGTAAACAGTAAATTACCTATAGTCTGGACATTCGTAAAAAGTTTAATGAAAAGAAAGATTTCTAAACCGTTTAAGAGATTAAAAGTAGTTTTAATTTTAGAATCCATTTCGAGATTACATGGGATTAACAATTTTATACTGATACGATTTAAGAAAAATAACTACGTTATCACTAATTGTTTTATTAATTATTTTTTAGCAGTTAATGTATAACTTTTTATTTGTAAGTCTCTGGATAAAAAATATTAGTATTTCGGACTCTGGTTACCGGATATCAGGTAATTTTCGGATTTTTCCTAAAATTAAAATGACCAGTTCTACCATAACAGAAATTATCAATAATAGAAAAATAACTACGCTATCACGAATTGTTTTATTTCTTCTATTTCAACAGTTAATGCACGAATTTTATTTAAAAATCTCTGGATAAAATGTATTAGCATTTCTAGCTACTAACCGAATATCCGGTAATTTCTGGATTTTTTTCAAGAATTAAAAATGATCGTATTCTAATTGAAATTACCAATAACAGAAAATAACTACGCTATCATTAATTGTTTTATTATTTTTTTTTAACAGTTAACGTATGATTTTTTTTTTATTTCCAAATCTTTGGATGGAAGACAATATTATTTCTGACTACTGTTACCGGATATCAGGTAATTTTCGGATTATTTCTAGAATTATAAATACTTAAGTTCTGATTGAGAATTACCTATTGAATTACTAGAATTGCAGATGCACAAAAAATGTGCAGTTGTTAGTAGGAATTGACGAAATTTGTATATTATGCTAACATTTGCAACTTTCAATTATTTACTAAATAGTTCTACAGAATGTTCTAATGAATTCTACAGTCGGGAATTTATTTGGTAGAGCATACTTAGAGTCGCTTTTCATCGAAACAACAGATTTGTAGCAGATTCAGCATTTATCAGATGGAGAGACTTGCTGCAGTGTACATAAAAACAGAAAAGAAATGCAAGCTGAAGATAATTGATTCCATTTGTGTTAAATTGGAAAGCGATCAGGAAAAAAAAACAGACATGAAATTGCAATTTTAAAACGACGTCTACAATTAAAGTATTTATTTGTCACCAACGCTGTAAAAATTCGCAAATTTAAATGCTCAAAATAAAAAATTTTTAAACAGTAAATAAGTAATATAAAAAAATGAACATTTCTTAGGTCAACAAAGAAAAATTTTATTTTGTTAGCAATAAACAAGTAATATAAAAAATGGAATTTGGATAAAACGTCTACTTAAAGCAACAATTTATCGATTTTCGCAAGAATTGAACTCGCATTCTTCACCTTCACGTGAAAAATACTAAAATCCTTGCATTTTACCGATTGAGCTACTGCCTGCAAATTTCAATTTTTAATTACAAACTGCTAAAACTCTATTTAAAATATTAAAAATTAATTAATTAAATTTAATTACTGAATTAATATTTGAAAAACTTTATTAACATCCAGTGTCATCCACTACAAGTTTAAAAAAATGTATTTGACTTTGAGTGGATGAATAAAAAGTATTTAATTAAGGATTGAAAATTTGAACACATATAGGGAGAGTGTGAACGAATAGTAGGAATTGAACAAGTAATATAAAAAAAAATTTTTAAGTCAATTCCAACTTTTTTTTTTTCACTATAATTCCGAAAAGTCCTTTACAAATAATTTAAATCCTTTTTTAAGTTTAACTGGCGCCATTTATTGGTAGATATATGCAATTTAAATCTAAAATTTTTTAATTAATTTATTAAATTTATTTAATGAATTAATATTTGAAAACTGTATTAACATCCAGTGTCATCCATTACAGTTTGAAAAAAATGTATTTGAACTTGAGTGCATGAATAAAAAGTACTTTATGAACGATTGAAAATTTAAACAAGATATATGTAGGGAGAGTGTGAACTAATAGTAAGAATTGAAAAAACGATCTGACAGAGCCACAGAGTCACAGGCTATTAGTCTTTAAGCAAACATACTTAATCACTTCCCATGTTAATGATTGCACGAGCATAAATAATTCAGAGACCAAAGACATGCTCGTTGTGCTAAAGAGATTCATTAGTGACTGCACACAGGATCTATTAGAAGCTTGTCCAAACTATGCATCACAGTTATTGAATGGAGCTCATATTACTGAAATATGTGAGTGCATTAGCGTAATGATTCATACTCAAGGAATCGATATACAATACAGATACGCTATTATTAAGAGTTCGTGATTATTCATCGATTTATTAGCAGCTTTCGGCGACCGGTTGGTTATCGTAATTACAGCTTATTTCAGCTTCAATTGCTTTCAGAAGTGACACCATAGTACAAAATGTGTCCTAGTAATATACAGTAATATTTATTACCTTAATCTTTTGCCTATATTTCGCAAATGCAGTATGATCTGCATTTGTTTATTTACATCCTTTGACATAATATAGGATAAATTTTGAGTTGATGTTCAGCTTACTAAAATATACATTTTTTTGTAAAGGAATGTATAATCGGAAGTGATACGATTAAGAAGAAACTTTGTTAATTTAAAATTAATTTCCGAAGTTGAAAATTATAAAGTTAAAGAATTTATTTTGCATTTGATTCTTTTTTAATAGAATAATATTTCAATTGTATAATTTATATTTGGCAAACATTTAATTTCTAAATATTACACTTTTCACTTTACTATGATTTCCAATTTTTTTTAAAGGTCTAATTGTGAAGCACCTCCAGGTTTTGTATTGCGAATGTCATAATGGTTTTGTTTTAGCGGTTTGTCGTTAATTGTTGGTTTTGTTATACAATTTAATGGTTTGTTGTTAATTGTGGTTTTGTTATACAATTTAACGGTTTGTTGTTAATTGTTGGTTTTGTCATACAATTTAACGGTTTGTTGTTAATTGTTGATTTTGTTATACAATTTAGTGGTTTGTTGTTAATTGTTGGTTTTGTTATACAATAGCGAATACGCTAACAGCTGTTATCGTGAAAAATGACCATGTTTCTAATTTATTCCTTGTTTGTTCTCTTTTGATGTTGATGTTCACGTGGTGTGTTCTTTATATCTATATCTATATCTATATCTTTTATCTATCTATCTATATATATATATATATATGGATAGATAGATAGATAGATAAATATATAAAACCTTAGAATATGTTAGTACTGATTACAAGCGACAGTGATACAATGATATTTATTTTCAGAAATCTTATTAATTTTACATAGCAGCGACATAAAAAATGCACTTTCCAAACGCACACACAATATATATATATATATATATATATATATATATATTGTGTGTGCGTTTATATATTTATATATATATATATATATATATATATACATTTTACATAATAAATATATTATATTTAAAATTAATAAACTTCCGAAAAAGAAGTTCATAGACTATGTAGCTGCTTATAATGCACAGCAAGATTTTCAAAGGTAGATATTAGTGTATAATTTGCGAATTTTAGGTAAGAAATCACATTATTATTACTTTTAATTAAATAATACTAATTGTCTTTTAATTAAAAACATAGCTAAACGTAAGGAGCCCTTCATTAATAAACCAATAGTAATGTGAAAACTCGCAAATTAAAATCATCTTTATATTTTCATAATTTTTTGCAGAATAATTTATTTTTAAAATCCATTTGCAATAAAGGTTAAAAATAATATTCATTTGCAACAAATAGTAAAAGCGACATGAAAACATATAACGAGGAAAAATGATACATCGAAATGTTATAAGAAAATCAAAGTGAATTCTGTTAAAAAATATTCAAGAAAAAAATGGTTTTTTTTAAATTATCAAATGATTTATTTTGTATCTAGATATAATGTGACATATTTTTAACGCGTGGGAGGAAAATGCGGGGTTACAGTTAAGCACAAAAGCAACAACTCCAAGAAATAACCTAATTAATATCTTCGGATATCACTTCAAAAAAAGACGTGGGCGAACAATATTGCAATTTTGAGACAAAAAAAGTAAGAAATTACATTAAGCAATTGACGATTTAATATTTGATAAGAATTGCATTAAAAACAATCAAATATGACTTGAATATCAATCAATAGTCAAAGAAAATATAGGCGATACGAAATTAAAAACATAATAAAAAGAAAATTAGATTTGGTTCAATAGTCTTTATAAATATTAAAAAAAAAAACTTAACTTATTGTTTAATCAATCAATCATTAAATAAAGTATAACAATTTTCATAAAAAATGGTCCCGAAATGTTACATTAGAATTACTTTTGTGTCAAACTTTATAACTTTTAATGATTTTTATTTTCACAGAGTCAACATAAGCATTTTTAAATTGTTTTTTTTTTTAAATTTTATGTTTTTATGAAGAAACTTTATATTGTTAACAATGTGTACAAATTGTATGAAGTTATAAACTTTATATTGTTAACAACAAGTTAACAGTTATAACAAATTTGTATGAAATTATATGTTGTTGTTTGTTGTTGTTTCTTATCCCACTTGGCTGGCCAAGCCCACGAGTCCATACGTACTCATGATTGAAGGGGAAGGAAGCAGCTTCTGTTGTGATGGAGCACCCGTAGGTAGAAGTCTGACTTTTGCTCCGTGACGCTCTTACAGTCATAGGAGACCGGGACCTACGGCTTAAAGTGGATTCCGAACCACTACAAACATCCATGGCACCGCCGGGATTCGAACCCGAATCCTGTGGCACCGAGCGCCAGACACTCGGCCATTCAGGTCCCAAATTTGTGAATGCCAACGGCACGCGGTGTTCCCATCCCAGGTGGTCACCCACCCAAGTACTGACCGCGCCCAATGATGCTTGACTTCGGTGATCTAACGAGAACCGGTATATTCAGCATGGTATGGCCGTTGGCTTGATGAAGTTATTTACTTTATATTATTAACAACAAGTTAACAATTATAACAAATTTGTATGAAGTTATAAAAGATATTTCATACAAGTGACTTTTTTTAAATAAATAAATAATAAAAAAAAAAAAAAAATCGAATTCATGCAAACTAGAATGTATAGTAGCTTGGAATTTGTGCGCTTGAAAGAAGGAAAAAAAACATTATTTTTGTTTTTATAATTTAATTAGCATTATTATCTAATTAAATATGACATTTGTTACAGGAATTTACGCTCTAAATTAACATGTTATGATATCATTAGTGGTTATTGTGATTACCAATACAAATAATAGATTGTTTTCTAACAATTTCATGGAAAATAACACAACATTATATAATAATCCACATTAAACGACATTGGTTAATATTCATTTCGACAAACTTTTAGTAAAATAACTTGAATTACTAAGTGATTTATAATGAATTGTATTATTATTTAATGTTTCTGGGGAAAAGCTGAAGCATTGTTATCAAATCAAAATTTTAATGGTTTTTATTAAAATTGAATAATTTTAATTTTATTTTAAACAATTAAAAATTTAATTGTAGGGAAGGGTTTCATAACCTTTATTTTATTTGCAAAAGGAGCAAAAAATTTAAGAACCCTTGATATAAAATTTATTAACTTATCACTTTGTTATAAAAGAATCATTAATCATGCGAAAGTCGGATTAATTTTCTGAAGGCGGGCATATTATATGTGCTAGTATATATATAATCCGACTTTCAAAGAGATAAATTAATAAATTTTATGATTAATTAATTTTATAACAAAGAGATAAATTAATAAATTTGTATATATATATATGTATATATATATGTATATATATATGTGAAAAGTGGTTCTTTTTTCACAGCATTTTGAATGGGATTTATTACTATCACCCTGTATATATATATACATATATATATATATATATATATATATATATATATATATATATATATATACAGGGTGATTGTAATTAAAATCCCACATTCAAAATGCTGTGAAAAAAAGAACCACTTTTCACAATGTGTTCATATTTGAACTATAGATATTTGAAGAAGGAGGAAACGGTATCAAAAAAAGTTCCAATGATTTTTTCTATCCAATTTGGTGTGTATGACCTTACCGTGGTGGATGAGCTTTCCACTAACAGTGCCACAACTGTTGAATGATTTGGAAATCTTTTTTCCATCAAAAAACCAAAACAATCAAGCCCATTGAACACTATAATTGGTTTTAATGTGCAACTCACGCCAAATACGTTGTAATTTCGATACAAAATATCACTGGCAGTCGAATTCACTTTCATTATGCCCTTTACAGTGCAATCTATTAATACACTTTGGAACTTTTTTTGATGCTTTACCGTTTCTCTTTTCTTGCACATATAATATGCACGTATATATATATATATATTTTTTTCTTTCAATGGCGCAACAGCCCCATGGTGTGTCAAGACCTTCTGCCTACTAGCAGAAAATGTATATATATATTCTTTATGACATTATCATAACATAAGAAACAACATATATGTACCGTTTCTAAAAGAGTATTAAAATGTTTTTAATTAATGTAAGCCACAAAAGTGCAGATTTCTTTTTATACTAGTTATTAGCAGCTAATTAAAAAAGTGGATTTCCATTACTATTTAACGCAGTTTTCACACTCTGGAGCTTCTTCGATTAGGATATTTGCTGAATATACAAATACAAAGTCAGATAACGTATTATGTGAAAGAAAAATTATCATATTTAGAAGAATCGCGATAGTTTGTCAGAGATGTAAACGTCAATTGCAACAATTCCTTCGAAAATAACAAAACAAGTCTCATTGTTTTCATTGCATGTATTTATGACGAATTGTTTGCGGGCATTGTTTTCGATAACTTTTGAATCTTGAATAATAAATGTACAGGTAATTTCCTGTTTTCTTTATCAATAATTGTTTCTTAAATAAATTAGGTGTCTTTTTTACAGAAAACACATTTGTCTTTTGAAGACAAATTGTTTTGATTTTGGGTTGGATTCAAGGTCTTGAATTGCCCAGACTGACACAAGTGCTTTCAAATAAAATAAATAAAAGTTCCATATACTACTGTGTTCAAAAAGTAAGACTAATTTTCAGTTTAAAATTACCAGGCTTATGGTATTTCAATTTTAGATTGTTGGCACTGTCCTTCGCATCTGTGTAAAAATTTCACGTCAAAATATTCATTAGTGCTTGAATTACGCTTGTTTTTGTGAGGTGCTAAAACTGATTCCGGCCATTTTTGAAATGTCTCTTCAATCGACTCAAAACGGTGTCCCCGGAGTGGTCTTTTGAGTTTAGGGAATAGCCAGAAGTAGCACGATGCTAAATCAGGTGAATACGATGGTTGTGGAACGATATGATTTTCATTTTTTGGCGGAAAAGTCACGAAGAATCAATGCAGTGTTAGCTGGCGCATTCAGTATTTTCGCTATCATTCGAGATTTGACGCGTTTGAGGCTCAAAACATCTTTTAAAAATGGAATTTTGAAATTCTAACATCATCAGCAAGGTCTCTAATTGTAAATCGACGGTTTGCAAACATCAATTCTATAATTTTTTGAACGTGAGAATATTGAGATAGAGAAAATTGAAATGCCATATGCCCGGGAAATGTAAATTGAAAATTTATCATACTTTTGGACACAGTTGTAAATAATTATTTGTACTTTTTAAAACATTTTTTTAAGTATTGGATACATTTGGGATTTTTTTATTTTAATTTGTAGAAATATCGCTTCTTAATACACAATGAATGAACGATGAATTGATGAATCATATTGCTGAGGTCAACGATTCTGCATTACTCATAGATCTTATCCATAATTCGGCCATAGAATGTGCGCAAAGATAAACACCCGTTTCAAACGCGGAAACGGGCGAATCGATTACTTGTTAGGGGTGATAGTCAGATATACGAGGTCCAAGGCAAATATGGAAGAAAAATGTTTAATAGTTATTGAGGAATGTTTGTCGTCCAATTTGTTTTTTGTTATTACGTAATTTAAAATTTTAATTATTAAAAAATACATTTTTATTGTAATTGTTGTCAAATTTTTTTTTTGTTATTACGTAATTTATAATTTTAACTATTAAAAAATAATTTTTTTTTCTGTAAATAAAACTCCTTCGAAAATATTTCTTCCCTGTTACGCCACTCTGTTTGAATCTTTCTGACTTAGTTGGACAACTGCCAATTTCTCACATGTTGATGAATTATACAGATCTACTGATTAGACGTATTTAATACTATGTCACTGAGATTCCTGCAGTTATGCGGGCTTTGCAATTCATCAATAAAATAGGATTGGTAAACAATATTTTTGCATAATAAAATAATAAAAAAAATATTTTTTTTGTAAAAACAAAAAAAAAAAAAAAAAAAACAAATACCACCACCACAACCAAAAAAAAAAAAAAAAAATTTCAATGGACTCTTTTACATAATTTTTTTTTATCCTAACGAAGTAATTTAAATAAATGCATATAAATAAATTAAAAGGGACAATAAATCTGAAACATATATATAAAAACAGTTTAAAAATCAAACAATAAATGAATATTTCTGAGCTATTAAACCAATAGCTGACGTTTCGTTATGTATCTTTACTTGATACTTTAAGGCATGAATCTGACCTATTCGTAATGCTGTATTTAAACACGTTTATAAAGTAAGTAATTTAATTATTTTTAAAAATAATACCTTTTTCACTGGTTTTCAAATATACATTCTAAAACTGCTCATGCATATAAAACTGTGAATATTTAAAAATAATAATTAAAATAATTAAAATTAATTAAAGATATAACTATCATTTAATTTCACGATATATAGTAAATTTATTTTAATTAAAAGAACTCGAAAAAAAATGGCGGTTATTAAAGTTAACTCTAATTTACATTTAGTTTAAAATTTGAAAAGTAGAAGGAGACAAAGTTTTAAAAATTGGCAAATCGCAAAATACCATTTGAAGCAAAAAATTTATAATCAAATTTTAAAATGAGTAAATTCTATAAAGCACTCTTTATTATAATTAGTCATATGAAAATTTTAACATTTTACATGTACTGAATATGAATAAAGACATAATAAATATATTTTTGAAATACAGTAAAAAATGAGCTATTATAATATAGCATAAATTATTATACATCATTGCTGAGTGAATTACAGATTTATTTGCTTAAAAACAAAAAATAAAGAACATAAAACTTGAAGGACGTATTGTTCATTTAGAAAACAAATAAAACGATAAAGCGGCATTTTTTTTTTTTTTTTTAAAGAGTAATGTTTTCGGAAAATAAAAGTACATTAAAAAAAAAAAAAAAAAAAATATCAGAACAACATTTAAAAGCCATTTCATGTTTTCCACCGTGTAAGAAACAAAAGCTAAAGTAAACGTTAATAATGGAGACATTCTCAGTAAATAAACATTTTCTCCAGTTGAGAGTAGCTTTAAAGAATTATTTTATTTTATTTTTGTGGAACATTTTAAAATAAATAAGTTAAAAGTATTCAGATGTCTGAGCATTAAAACAGAAAATTTGTTATTTTTCTTTCAACCGGACGTCTTTTGCCGCCAAACATGATGGCGAAAAATCTAACTAGAGATGTAAATGGCAACCCTAATGTTACACAGAACTGCACAGTTGGCGAAACAACCAGGTTACTACATTTGGCAATTTGATGGACGATTGCGATTGGCACCCATTAACCAAAAAGTACCCAAAATATAATTTAAGACATCTGTCTCACAAGATGTTATACTAATTTATATTTTCAGTTTTAGTAAAAGTAAATAAATGAATAATTTTTCAGATATAAAATTGCATTTGAAGAAAAAAATATTATTTAGACAGTTAAGTTATGTTCAGATCTGAGAATGCCCGACTAGTGGTTCAGTGATAACGTACGCCACTGATGACCATTAGAGCTACTAATTC